AGTGTTATTCGGCCAAAAAATGAAGCTGGAGTTTTATAGTGATTTCAAAGGTGAAACTCTCAGCGAAAGGGCATTGACGGTGCTAATGGATTGTAGCTTCGTTTAGTGACTTACCTTACACATTTGTCTTTGATCACATCCATAATTTACAGCAGTGACTTTATCCGTCTTCGCCGTATTCCTTAAATTATGTAAATTGAAAGAAGCTCTCAAAGCTTTCGGGAGACTAGATCATATATGTGATATGTGATGAGAATTTTTACAGCAGCCACAACGTTTTGGAAACTTTAACAGGCTCTCTCCAAATAAAACTAATTTTACCTGAAACAAAACTGGCTATCACAAGGCACTGTGTCGGATGGTGCATCTACATCTCCAACAATGGCTCCTAAATCAAGTTCATTTCTAGGTAATACAGAATTATCTGAGACTTGCGTAATTTCAGCCTTTGGCACATCAACTTGTATATACTCAAAAATGGTGCTTTTTCGTACTGCTGCAGTAGAATTTTTTGCAGATCAACAAAATTGTACTAAGTGTTCTGATTCAGTGGTTTGGAGTACACCATATACAACTCTCCTGCTCTAAAGAAGAGCTCTGAAAAAATGGCCTATATTATCAAAAATCTGACAGAAAGAGCTGCCGAGTTTTTCCGAGATCAAACGGCTGACAGGATCACCTACAATCTCAAATATTTTCATGGTGCTCGAATTCAAATAATTTCATCAAACCCGATATACTCGAAGTTTTCAAAGCTTTCGAATTTTGCAAACAATTAAGTCAGATCCAACTTTTGTTTTATAAGCAGTCTAGGACTAAATTTTCTCCATTTGCAAATAAGTTTATCACCGCAACAAGTGTGAAAAAGCGGCTTATTTGAGTATCTGCAAGCCGAAAACAAAAGCAAAAGGAAAAGCCATTTTTTGGGTTTACGGCGGGGAGACTGACCTAACGACTCAATATTTTATAGTGCTTAAGTAAGCAAACAATTTTGTAATAGAAATGCAATCAAAGATACTCAAATCTCAAAATTTATGATTCGAAAGTGATTGTGATTCCCACAGATATATAAATAGCATGCTGGATCCGAAAACTTTCACTAACATACAAGTTGCAACTCACCGCTGTAACAATTAATGGCAGCTGTGACTCCAATGGTGAAGAATAGAGCAAATATTCCGTAAGATGTCATCTTCCCAACACCAAAACGAGGGTTGTCTCACGCCTTATAAAGCTGTCTGCTTTAGATAACGATTGTTTGTTGTTCTCGGGAGTACTCATGTTTTTTCCGGTTCAGATTGAAAAAGCTGAAGTTACTGCGTGTGAGACCACCGCCTCGAACGTATCGCAATTTGCTGACTCAATCGTAAAGGTTAGTGTCTCCGCGAGAAATGCTTGCTCACAAATGAGTAACAACCAAATATTATTATTCCCGAAAATCTGGGCGATGGCACTAAGTGAGCATGCTGCTCAATTTCTCACGTAAAGACCGGAGCTTGAAAAGCACAGTCGATTTCTATCAAGAGGCTTCCCAAATGTTGGGTCGTGCCGAAAGTAGATACGCTTTTTTCGAGCACCACATTCGCAGAAAAGAACTACAGAAGATTTTGGTCGCATTCTACACAATTTTTCATTTTCTTTCGAATTTTTCATTTTCTTTCGCTTATGACTACTACATTGCAATACAGCTTTGAATCGCGCTTGCGGTTCAAATATCCATGCGATACAGAACAAAACCGTAACTTTTACTTGCAGCGAACGTCGCCTAATTCTAGCATTCTACTTTCCTTCCATTCCCACTTAACAACTTCTATTACATCTCTCAACTTGGGACAATACTAGGTGCCTACTTCCACTCTCTTTCCCTTTTCGGCAGCCGCTATCCATTTCCACACTTGCTTACAATCAGAGGGGATAGACATAGAGAAGGGGAAGCGTAGAGGACCGACTTCGCGTTGGAAAATGAAGAATGAAGGCGCGAGCCTCTTTTTCGATTTCAGGCAGCTTTTATACGCCCCACCGCACATCGCACGCTTGCCGCTATACCAGTGTTCCTCATGAACGGATTCAAGACCTGCCGATTTGACAAATATTTTCCTCGGCGTCGCGAATGCCGTTCCTCCGCACCGCCTTTTTTTTGTAGATCACGAAGTTGACAACAACATCACACCAACAGTCAAGTCAACAAATTCAAGATAATAATGACATTAAGAAAAAACTAGTGATCATTGTCGTGTCCTATTGTTTGTGACGATATTTGCTTTGACAAAATGCGGAAAAACTCTTGTCATCTGTGGTAGTGTGTCCTCTGGCTCAGCGATGTATGCAAACCGCTTAGCGGTTGAAGAAGCAGTGGACATTGACAAATAGTCAGCTCGAGGACAATGTTGTTTTTTTCCAAATTTCACTTTCATTGATTTTTGCATTTTGTCTCGTTTCTGTTTTCTTTTTTTGCAATTTGTTTTAGAACAATTCCATAAACAAAGCAACATTTCCATAAACAAATAAACAAAGTATTAGAGTAATTAGATAGGAATAATTTCAACCGCAATGGTAGGCCGCCTCATTATGGCGTGGGGGTGACCCTGAGTGCAGGGCCCGGCACGAGGTGGGCACGCATTAATGCCCCCACGGGGGTGATCAGCATGCTCGATTACCCCCCTGTGCCAACTCCCAGCCCTGTAGCTCAAATTTTGCAAAAAATCGATAAAATCAATATCGATCGATGACGAAAAGTAGCCTATGACACCCGTCGGGGCCCGAAGTGTATGTGTGCCAAGTTTGGTCCCGATCGGTTCAGAAATGGAATTTTCTATTCGGAACATACGTACAGACAGACATACAGACAGACAGACATACAGACAGACAGACAGACAGACAGGCAAACAGACATTCAGCTTTATATATAAGATGATGATAATGCGCAGAATGTATTTAGAAATTTTCTCAAAAGCAATTGTTTCCCAGCTGCCTTGGAGCTACATTTTGTAGCTTCAAAAATTGCTCAAACTATATAACGAAACTAACAGACTTGCCTCAAGTCGTCATAAATTTTCAAAACTGTTCACTTATCTCAAACAGAATTTCATGCGCACATGGTTTGTAATACTCATTTCGCATGTCGGTAAGGTAGTTGTAGGTTAACGGTAGCCCATAGTCAGCGCTTCTAAGCATGTAGGGTTGTAAGACTAGTCTCGCACCATAGGTACAAATTGCGTTAATTCATATTTCTCTTATACCCTGAGTTCTTACACATCATTTGATACAACAAAACTAGCTATGAAATGCAGTGTGTAAAGATCTGCACCTACTGTACAAAAATTCAAAGAAAAAACCAGTCTGAAAACTAGGAAAAATCGAGAGGCAACTGCGTTTAAAAAAATGCTACGAAAAGCTTCAATTTTCAAACATACACTTTCCATATCAGAAGTTTATATATGCAGTTGCTGTATTTTTCTAGTTAAAAATCGAAAAAATAAAAATTTTCTGTTCTTATCAAATCAATTATGCAAGGATTCAATAAACTTGTAAACTAGCTTTTGTAGAAACCTAAAGGTGTAGTTGTGCTTTTAAATGCTTGTAGTATGCAACTGCTGGTGTAGGAACACAGCTTTGATTTGACAAGAATACCAAAGTTCCATTTATCGAATTCTAACCGAGAAAAAAAACATAGCTTTATATAAGGGCATACTAACCACCATCGGTCGCGGGTACCCAAGGTATGAGGCAGCGCGCCTGCGCAGCAAAGGAGATTGCACCCGAGCGCGAAAGCTAGCCTTTTGCTTAGAGTCATCGTTGGTTCATCCCGTGTTTACCTCCTATTCTCTTGTTGAGCATTAGATTGTGTGCTTGTATAGATAACTGAACAAGATAGTGGCGCTGTTCCAATGAAAAGTGTTTAAGCAGGGATGGTAAAGCGCGTGCTTGCTTTTGCTCGTGCACAGCAGAAGATTAATATCCATTCCGAGTTGAGAAGACTCAAGCACGCTCTGCACAAGTATGATAAAGAAATGTTACTTGTTCTTTACCCCATTTGGTTGGTTTACTAATAGCAATTAAAGGAGAAATTCAAGTTTGTTAAACAACGTGTCGACGTTCCCAAGTCTCCTAAACTCAGAATTGGCAATACGATCGAAGTGTCAGATTCAAAAGTCACACAAAACCGTATTACCTTTTACATTACTGATTTGGAAGATACGACAGATACGCAAGAGAAGCTTTTATACAAATCAGCAAGAAGTTTTGGAAAGAGATTCAATCCCAGCCCGGATCTAACAGCAGACGCTTCTGCGCTCGGGTACATCTTTGCTGCCTGCGTGGCGCTTTTGCTGGCTCATTCCGTGCATACCCACGACCCATTGTGGTTAGTATTTCCTATAAATGTCTGGTACGGACTGTATGTGCATGAGTCAGCAAGAATTTGCGTAGGACTTGTTTGAACGAAGTTGCAATTTTCCTCGAATTCCTCGATTTTTTGGGCGCACGATTTTTTAAACTTTTGGCTTCATTTTCGCGCGGATAATAATAGGAGCAAACCTTTGAAAACTGTTTTATTTAGCTAGCTTTGCTCTATCGCATTATAAATCAGAATTATCTAGGATATGAGAAATAATGATTTATTGCGGAGTGCTCCTCTGCTTTGCTGATTTGACCCTATAATAAAAGCGTACCTTCAGTGCGACCTTCAATGTCATGACGAGATAGCACGGTCCAGCAGCGAGCAAAGAGAATATGGGATGAATCAGGTAAGAATATGCTGATATGCTCTTCTAAATGAGATGGTTATGTGTCATTTTCATGGAAACAGTCTTCAACGGTTTGCTTCTTGATAAGACTCAGATACTAGACCATGCTAGGCACATTTATGTCATACTTTTACAATATAGTACATTAATACTATAGAATAATTGATTGCTACAGGTTTTTTCTTCACTCGATCTATCGCGCTAGAAAAAGAACTTGGAATGCTGTGCTCCTTTCAGACCTGCTACCTTCAGTGCATGATCCCCATTGTCGATGAGGTATGTATGCGCACGATGCCAATCACATTTCTTTACAATTAGCTTTTTAGGTATGTGCACCTGACATGAGTCACAAAACTGTAGATTTGGTGCGATCCTTTATTCAATGGCATGCAACCGACATATCGGATTGGCACGCAGTAGCAGGGCGATTTGAGGAGTTACCTGATAGTTGTCGTCAACTAGCCAGTTCACCACCTGATCCAGCATTGCAACTAATCAATCGAGACTGAGCTCAAAATTTTATGCTTCAGAGTAATAATAAATATATAGGTATATTGATGCTGTTAATGGTCTTTGCAATGGGGACATTTCTGATAATCTCAGTCATATTCTCAGATCCACCTTATTTGATTCGTTCCACTAATCTAATATGTAAAGAATCGTAAGCGCAATTCAAAAATGTGCACATAGCGGGAAATCGAGGGCGGGTCCCGAAGCGAACGCTCTTCCAAGCAGCACCTTTAATTACTGGTCCACTAGTTCATAAAATAACTTGATGATTGTTTCGCAAGCTTGAATATAGGATGGTAGATACTTTTCTCCACTATTTTCCATGGACAATGACATTTTGTTCTAGCCAATCTTACTAACTTAGGAACTTACAAGAAAAGGATCAGACAGCTTTGGACAGACATATGCAGTCTTGACCAAACTTATAGATCCTCCTCAAAAAATGCCGTAACTCACTCAGTCTTCAAGGACCTGCTCCAAAATTTGGTATGGCTGTGTTGTTTACAAGCCTACTATCAGCATCACGGGCCTCGTTTTTGTTTGGCTTTTCATTTCCGCTTTTTTTGGCTCAAAGATGCTTTCACATGCATTCCGCTAAAGAAACCTGCGTTTGAGTAGGAAATTCTGCAGTTTCTTGGCTGGTTCGGAAGCGATGTGGTTTTGTCTACCTAGATGCTTTTAAACGTGAGCATTTGTATAAGCTCGAATCTTTGCGCTATAATCTTAACTGCGCTATCATTGCAAACTCAAAATAAAACACAAACATTCTTTACACGGGAAGAAATCTGTAAGCCATACTCACAAAAGTTCACGAAGTCGCCCTTGGCTTCGTTTTCGAAACGTGAGTCGTGCAGCCTAATGGCGTTATACACTTTCAAAATAGCTTGCCAAGTGTTATACACTTGGATTCTTGGCAGTAGTCATCCACTACATAGTGAAGACAGCTTCTTTGTACGATAATAGATGATTCTCCTGATAATTTTGGTCAGAGTGAACTAACTTTGAAGCCTATAACAATCACTTTTTGGGGGTAATTTTTGCGATTATACCTATCCTCTATTTCATTAGAGTTGGCGGCTGTAGGGCGGGGCTTTGGTAGACTAGAGAGCACGTACGCGAGGGGAATGCAGAGCGTGCTCTCCCGCGCTTTCGTGCTCTCTAATCGACCAAAGCCCCGCTCTCCAGCCGCCAACTCCAGTGAAACAGAGAATACATGCTAAAATGTCTGCAAAACTGTAACCAAGGAATACGCACAATTCCTTTACTTTGCCTAGGGCTTCCGAGGGCATTGCAAAAAGATTTGAGGGCACAAGTTTGGGCTTAGGCTGCAGTAAGGTGGATGGCTGAGGGACTGCGGAGTTTCCTACCCAAACGTATATCTCAGGGGCAAAGTTTATGTAGAACTGCAATGACAAAGCTTCATTAAAGCAAGTGTTTGATAACTGTTTGTTAGTTCTGACCGCATGTACATATAAATTTTGGGTAGCTAGGAAGTGCTTTAAGAGTAGAAACCACAGGTAAGCCTAATTTAATTTGTACATTTTACACATGATTTGAACAGCTCGAATAGATAAGCAAACAAAGCAAGGCCCGTTTCGATGACTGATAGTAGGCTGGTAAATACACAGTTGTGCCAAATGTGGAACAATATTTCGACAACAGAGTGGGCTGTGGAATTTTTTATAGACATATCATCAAAAACCGCTACGCTTTGTGTTGACACGACTATGCCTTCGCACATATCTAGAGCCAATGATGGAAATGTACGCAACGGTCATTTGACAAAGTGTAAAATTGCCTGAATGAGCAGATAGTCACAAAATTGCCTGAATGAGCAGATAATCACAATCTGCACTCTGTATGCAACATTTTTTACATTCTAGGAAAAACTAGCTGGCAAACCCGGCTTCGCCGGCCCTATCAATAATATAATCATAATCAGCATGCTCAATTACCCAACCGCGTAGTTCGAACTGCGCAAAAAATTGGTAAAATAAAACTTGGGTACTATCTGAAGTGGTAGTAGTGTAGCTCCTTCGAAAAAATCGATGACCTATAATCTGGATACTACTCAAAGTAGAAGCTCTAAGAGCTCTAAGTTCCCAGCCCCGCAGCTTGAATCTGCAAAAAATTGACAATCCAAAATATAATCTTCATAGTATTATAGAAGCCCCGTAGCTCGAACTTTGTAAATAATCGATAATTTAGAATCTTGAACACTATTCAAAATAGAAGCTCTAAGACTACACTGTCACATTACTCGTAATCAGCATGCTCACTTACCCCCTGTGCCACCTCCCAGCCCTGAAGCTCGAACTTTGCAAGAACTTTGCGACAACCTAAAACTAAATCGACAACTTGGATACTCGCATTTTGCAAAAAAATTGGACATTGTTCAAAGTAGAAGCTCCAAGAACTCTGTGCCCCCCAGCCCCAAACTTTGCAAATCTGCAACCTTACTGTTCAAAGTAGCCCCATAGCTCGATGGATATTATCAAGACTTATGATAAAACGCTAAGCGTGTCTTTTTGTGCTTGTGTGTATGGGTGTATGTCTGTTTGTCACGAAATTCATAGGAGCTGGAGCCAAGCTATCGAGCTACAATTTTGCACAACATACCTACCAGCATGTAGGCCCACCATGCACAAGGACGAGCCGGTTCGATAAGCGGGTCCTTCAAAATTTGCGCGTCAAACGGGTCCACAGCTTTTGGCGCGCAAAACTAGGTCACAAACTCAACTTTTTGCGAAGTCGATTTAACTGACAGGTAAATCTGCGCTTAAGGAATTCTAGCTCAAAAATTGCTCAAAAAGTTTGCTTTCTTGCGAAAACAGCGCCAAAAAGTAGTGATCGCGTAGAAAGTCGATTTAGCAAGAATTCACCTAAAAAACTGGAAAGATTTTTGCACGGAAATGTAGCTCAAAATGAATATTATCACTATGACGATTATCAAGCCAAAATAAATTCAGTCTATTTGAATTCGCATTTGTTCCTCTGCAAAAAAGTTTTCTTTCTCCAAATTACCGATCTTACATAGAGATGCTTCAAGAATGAACATTTGTTTACAATTCATTGTGTACAGCCTCGCGCGAACAGCCTTGCGCGGTGAGTTTCAAAGGCATCATTATGGGAGCACGAGAAAGGCATAAGGATAAGAAAGCCAGTGCGAACTTTCGCGAAGCAGCGGTGACGCACTAGTTCAAAATAGATCTAAGAACTACCCTGGAACTTGTTGGTTAAGCTGCAGTGAGGAGAAAACCATTTGGAGCAGGATGAGAAGCTGCATCAAAAGTGCCTAAAAACTTCCACGGACTTTGCTCTGCAGGATGTTACGCTCGTTTGAGAAAAGCGAAATTACTTTGAAGGACGTAATTTTTACAAAAACATAAACACCTATATCTACACAACAGTGGCGTACCCAGGATTTCGGCTCGGGGGGGGGGGGGGGCGACAAAAATTTTTTTCCGATGAAGGTGCGTGGGGTCAGCCACGCACTCCGAAATTTTTTTTCATATGCTCTCTAAAGTTTTCGCGGGCTCAGAACCCCTAAATTTAAGAAAAAGGGGGCGTGGTGTCAGCCACGTCCCCGAAAAGATTTTTTTGTAAGGCTAAAATGAATTTTTAAAAAATTTTAAAAATTATCTCAATTATTTACAAACGCACACAAGTCATTTGCACAATTTTACAACCCATGTAAGTAAATTTCAAAAAATTTCGCGACCCGCCCCCCCCCCCTCGCCTCCCCCCTCGGTACGCCACTGCTACACATCTACAACATTTTGCTAAGACATACAGTGCTGGACATAATTATACAGCCACTCTAGAAATCGTCGTAATTTTTGTTCTTGTCAATGAATCTGTCTGAAACTTTGCTGTATTGTGCGCATGTCAACCTAACATAACCCCTCAAAACGGCTTCCAGTCTTGTTGAGTTTGAACGGAGAAAAACGAAAAAAATCGAAAAAGCCCTCTTTGAAAGCTGGACAAAATTATACAGCCACCTGGTTTTTCTAATCACTATCGCATTCGTTGACTCTCAATTTTTTTTGTACAATTACATCCCAAAATATGAAACATTTGCGACACTTACGGCCTGTTTTCCTACTCAAATAGAAGCAATCGCTGCATTTCTTGCTTTTAAAAGCATTAAAAGTCAATTTCCTTCAACAAACAACTGCTTTAAAGAGTTTTCAAGCTCTTGTTCATTCCAAATGATAATCATGGAATCTACTGACCCTTCTGGATAGATGAGGTGAAGAGCGCTTTCATAAACTCTGCGTAATCGCTGATTTTGACGAACAGACTCCAACCTCACCATATTGGAACGCTTCTAAACCACAAAACTCAGTTTGCAATGTCCACAAAGTGCTGAACTTGATTTATCACATTTACATGGGGATACAGCTTTCGCAACAACTTTCAGATTTTTTCTAATGAAGCGGTAGCGATTTAGACTTGGAATACTTTCCACAAAAATTCCCTTAGCGGAAGATTCGATATAACCCTAGATCTCCTTATTTCCGTCTGTGTTTCATGTCATATTTCACCCGATGAATGAGATTAGCTAAGATTTCAAAGTTTTAAGCGTCTCCGGTTTTATCTCGTGATCTGAGTTGGCTTTGATTGTACAGGGTGCTCCACTCAACATTCAGTGAATGTCAACTGCGGCTGAATCAGAGTGCTCAGTCCCGAAATTTCTTCCCAGTCATGCACACGAGTTCACTGTTGTATGGCTGTCGTAATGGCTACATTACAGTATTTTCTGTCGCTTGAAAATCGAGTTTTGTGGTGCAAAAGTGCGTCAACCCTATGGTGAGGTTGGAGTCTGTTCGTCAAAATCAGCGATTACGCAGAGTTTACGAAAGCGCTCTTCACCTCCTCTATCCAAAAGGGTCAGTAGATTCCACGATTATCATTTGGAATGAACAAGAGCTTGAAAACTCTTTAAAGCAGTTGTTTGTTTAAGGAGATTGACTTTTAATGCTTTCAAAAGCAAGAT